GTGCTATGGCTCCACCTCTCCTTGGAGTCAAGAGCAACCCACCCAAGAGACATCTGGGTAGCGATAGGGTCCAGAGTGACCTAGACAAATTGGAGGATTGGGCTAAAAAAAATCTGATGAGGTTCAACAAGGACAAGTGCAGAGTCCTGAACTTAGGATGGAAGAATCCCAGGCATTGCTACAGGCTGGGGACCGACTGGCTAAGCAGCAGTTCTGCAAAAAAGGACCTGGGGATTTCAGTGGACGAAAATCCGGATATGAGTCAGCAGTGTGCCCTTGTTGCCAAGAAGGCTAATTGCATATTGGGCTGTATTAGTAGGACCATCGCCAGCAGATCGAAGGAAGTGATTATTCCCCTCTATTCGGGACTGGTGAGGCCACATCTGGAGTATTGCATGCAGTTTTGGGCCCCCCACTACAGAAAGGATGTGGACAAATTGGAGAGAGTCCAGTGGAGGGCAACAAAAATGATTATGAGGCTGGGGAACATGAGGAGAGGCTGAGGGAACTGGGCTTATTTAGTCTGCAGAAGAGAAGAGTGAGGGGGGATTTGATAGCAGCCTTCAACTACCTGAATGGGGGGTTCCAAAGAGGATGGAGCTAGGTTGTTCTCAGTGGTGGCAGATGTCAGAACAAGGAGCAATGGTCTCAAGTTGCAGTGGGGGAGGTCTAGGCTGGATATTAGAAAAAACTATTTCACTAGGAGGGTGGTGAAGCGCATTGGCACTGACTTCTTCATTTCCCAGAGAGTGCTCGATCCCTGTTCCACCCCAGGCCCTGCCCCCACTCCACTCCTTCCCCCAACTCCCACTCCCGCCATTGCCCTGCCTCTTCCCGCCCCCACCCTCCCCATCCCATTCCACCACTCCCCCGCCTCTTCCTGCCCCTGCTCCTCCCCCTGCCCCCCAGCACCATAGGCAGCGAGTTATATGGGCCTGTGGTATCTGTGCTCCACCAATATTTAGGAATGTGGGCCTGGCTCCACTGATGTTTGGGCTTACTGTGCTTTTGGGGGCCCCGCACTTGAGGGGGATGCAGGGTCCAGGGCGGCCTGGGGGGCTTGGTCGAAGGGGTGGAATGGGGCTGGGAAGGGGGCAAAGCAGGGGTGGGCTGCGGCCGGGTTGCTTGCTACTGCCTGCACCAGGCCTCCCACTAACCCCTCAGGCTGCCCTGGACCCTGTGTCCCCCTGAAGTGTGGGCCCCCCACAAAGCCCAGGGCCCAGGGTGGTTGCCCCAGTCCATCCTATGGATGGGATGGCTCCGTTCAGGGCACAACCAAAAATTATATAAACCTGGCACCCATGCCCAGCACCTCCTGCCCACCACTGAACAGCTGATTGCAGTGGGCAGGAGGTGCTGGGAGGGAGGGAGAAGAGCTGATTGGCGGGGCCAATGGCGGGTGGAAGGTGCTGTGGGGGAAAGGGAGGTGCTTATCCGCAGGGTTGCCGGTGGTACTGAGCACCCACTATTTTTTTTGTGTGGCTGCTCCAGCCCCGGAGCACCCATGGAGTTGGCGCCTATGCAAACATATAGTCATGGTAGCTATCATTGAGGTAGCATGAAAATAAATAGCAGTGTAGCCAGGGTAGCATCGGTGGTGGCAGCAGATGCATGCCTTCGCCATGCGAAACGCAAACATGCATGACACTGATGAGTACATACTCAGTACAGCTAAGCTATGCCTCTGTTGCTACTATAGAATCATAGAAATTAGGACTAGAAGGAACCTCGATAGGTCATCTAGTCCAGTCGTCTGCATTGAGGCAGGACTAAGTACTATCAAGACCATCCTTGACAGGTGTTTGTCTTAGATCATGACACAGATTCCACAGCTTCTTGAGGTAATTTATGCCAGTGCTTAACTATCCTGACAGTTAGGATTAGTTTTTCCTAATGTCTCACATAAATCTTCCTTGCTGCAATTTAAGCCCATTACTTCTTGTGCTGTCCTCAGTAGTTAAGCAGAACAATTTATTACCCTCCTCTTTATAACAACCTTTTGTGTACTTGAAGACTATCACGACCACCCTCAGTCTTCTCTTCTCCAGACTAAACAAACCCAATTTTTTTCAATCTTTCCTCGTAGGTCATGTTTTCTAGACCTTTCATCGTTTTTGTTGCTCTTCTCTGGACTTTCTCCAATCTGTGCTACCATAGCTACACTGCTATTTATACTCATGCTAGCTCAATGAGAGCTACCACACGTATGGAGCAGGGGAATCACACTCCTAGATCATAGTATAGATGTAGCCTTAAACTAAGCTCCTTATACAAAGCAGAACACCTTTGTCTGCTTATCCATAAATTCTAGCGAAGTAAAGGTTTTACAAAGCCATTCACTATGTTCTTACCCACTATAGGTAATGGGATTTGACCTAGATTCTGGTCTTCAGCATAATGATTGATGCTCAGCTGTCCAGCTCTCATCATGCTCTCATGACCTGTGTATCTAGCATTTAGGAGCCCTTTTATGTCCATTCTCTGCCAAAGTCCTACAGTTTGGGAGTGTCCCTGTTTTTGCATATTGAGACATTTACTAAGATACTTTTGTTTTCTGAACTAGTGTCAAAATGGTGCCATGATTAAGAAAGTCAAGTTTTTCCTTCCCAGTCAATTCACCTACATCTCCTGAGACTCTGCAGCTTTTGGCTTCGAGGGCTTTCTCTGACATGTATTACTGCTCACATTTTTCTTGTCAAGAGCGCATCACCATTTTGCAGTTTACAGTCACTCACACAATCATCTTCTCATCAGGTCCCTTGACTAGCATAGTACCTGGTATTACAAAAAGCTGCTCATCATAGAAATCCATCCTTTCCAAGAGTGCAGAATTCATGTTCTTCTGAGTCTTTTGTAATATTTTCAAGTGAATGGAGTGAATATATTGCTTAAGAAAGGTGCCAGTTTGACTGCCCTGGAGACTCAGTGTGCCCTTTTTAACTGCAGATGAAATACAGCACAGGCAGTCTCACTGCAAGTTTCTCCAGACTTCCTTGTCAAAGTCTCTCCACCCTGTCTCAGGGGCCACCCAGTAAGAGATAAGACCTCAGTCTGCATGCTCATTCTGTTTTTGGACTTGCTATTGATACTGGCAACAAAGTTACTAACTACATCCCTGGTCCTTCAAACACTTACATATGGCCTGACTTTACTCACATGTGTTCTATTGACTTCAATAGCAATAATTATATATCTCATACTAAGAATGTGCAAAAGCATTTGCAAAAACATGGTCTATTATGGTAACATTTTGATGTGAATATCTTCTGCAAGGAACTGGACTGATATCACCATGTCATTCCATATAAGCCATCAAGCAGCTAAAATAACAACATTTTCTTGGGAAATAAGAACTCCATTTGACTACTTGAAAGAAAAGAAATATTTTGCATCTATAATACATGGAAAAATCATAGTTGGGGATTTACATAAATTATGAAAAATCATAAACACTTCCAGTGGCTAGCAGCACTAGATAGCTCCATATAAATGAGTAATGAAATGAGTTGATATGCCTTGTATTTGTATTCCAGCAATCTCACAGCCATCTTAAAGCAAGGGGAAACAAACTTAGCTTTTAAAAAATATATATCTTGTAAGTTGGAAAAGCTCTTCAATTTAATATTACCTTTACCTTAAATGAAAGTTCTTTAATAGTTTTAATTATTAAATGAATATTTAAGTCCATATTTTCAACCAGCCTCCCTATATGTGCCCATAGATTTTCCAGATACATTGCATATATCTGCTCAGCTTGAATTCCATTTGCATATCATAAGTTAGACACACAAATGCAGGTCTTAGTGAATGCAAAAGGATGCACTTGCAAATTTTGTGAGTGTATATGTGAGGCCTGCTGATAAATTTGTCCCATTGATTAGACTTCCATTCATAAAATAAAAGTCATTTACTTTGTGAGTCTTGTGGCAGTGTTGCCTGTGCAAGTCTTTTTTCTCTTTACATGATATATTCAGAAAACACATTCATACTATCTATTTTCATACTGCTGAGGGAAGCAAAATGTTTGCAGAAAACCTTTGTTTTAGGGAAAAATACATAAATTATTTCTAGACTGCCTCACTGGTGTGCCAGTAGAATGCTGAGATACATTTTTTTTTGCAAGGGGATTGGGAGGAAAGGGAACAGATTCAGGAAAGATGTCAAGGCTTCTGCTGTCCATGATGGTGAAAAAGAGAAGCACTATTCATGTAGGGTGAAATTCACTTCTGAAATTCACTGACAGTACAGTCCATGGTTGGCTACAGACATGTAGGAAAGGTTTATCAATGAACTCCCAAATAATGGAATGAGCTGTGACTACATTTCAATGCTGGGGGAACATTTTCCTTTGACTCCTCCCACGACAAAGCACATTAATTACTTCTGTAATGTTCTTCTGCAGATAGGTTCTGAGAATGAAATATGCATGAAATGTAATTGCTATCCTTTTTCAAACTGTGCACGCTGATGGGGAATTAGTGAGAGAAATTATCTCACTTACCAGTGCCCAAAGAATAGAGTCAAGTATCAGCCAAAATGGTTGGGTTGGGGGAGGGTTGGAGAGATAAATGGAGGTCAGAAGGGTCCTGTGAAATTCACATTTGAATAATTCACTTACATTAAAGAACTAGTTGCCCTGAAAGAGATTTATATTTTGTTTTGGATGTTCCTGCGATGTTAACAGCTCTTAGGACCCGCTCCTTCAAACCCCGACTCATCTGAATAGTCCTTACCAAAGTAAGGAGTCACATTGAAGTACAGTGGCTGTGGGAAACCTGGCCATCAAAAGTGTCTGCTTGCTTCAGGGTTTGTAGGCCTCAGATGGTAGGTTCCTATTTTATTTTACGAGCTGTGCAGTGCAAAATAATAAATGTAAAGTATTTCAAAGCTTTTCTTGTGACAGTGGCTGAGAGTAAATTTGCTTTGTTTACAAACATTTGTGCCGCAATTGCCAAGCAGATTAAACTGGTTCATATAATTTACATGCTGTTTGTAAACAGGTTCAGGTGGCTATGCTGACAACCTTGTTGGTGCTGTCTCTGCAACTGGTCATGGAGAGTCCATCATGAAAGTCACCCTTGCAAGGCTTATCCTCTTTCATATGGAACAAGGTAAGACGATCCTCACATTGACGAATGCATCTGCATTGCTTAAACGACATTTATACAATACTTTTCTTGGCTGTAACAAGTAACAATTGATTCTTAACTGCTGAAAGGGAAGTTAGTTTGCAGTACAATACGTGTAAGAGGACACTTTAAAAACTTCTAAACATACAGAGTTCTCTATTTACTCTTAACCCTATTTCCTAAGCTTGACAAATGACACTGTATACAAAACTGAGAAGAATGCAGTATGCTTAAATAATCAGAATCATATGTATGTGTCTTCAGAAGCTTTCAGTATACAAATGATGATTTCGGGAAAAAATTGCAAAGTATATTGAGACCATTGATTAAATTTAGGAAACAGCACAATAAATGTAAGAACGTGAAGGACTTGTCTACACTTACGGGGGTTCAACATGTGGCGATCGATGCATCAGCAATCGATTTAGCGGATCGACCGCTGATCGCTCTCCCGTCGACTCCTGTACTCCACCTGAACGAGAGGCGCAAGGGGAATCAACGGGAAAGCATTTCCCTTCGACATCGCATAGTATGGACCCCACGATAAGTAGATCTAAGTACGTCGACTTCAGCTATGTTATTCATGTAGCTGAGGTTGCATAACTTAGATTGATCTTCCCCGGTAGAGTAGACAAGGCCTAAGTTGCAGCATCGTGTAGATTTTTTTTAAATCAGTCAGGGCCTCTATTTTACTTGGCTTGTTGTGCTGTATATGATCTCTAAAGCTAATATACAGCACTACTCTTGTCTATTGTATGTTTGAGGGCAATTTTGAAATGCGAATTCGAAAGGCCCCACTGAGATTCAGAATGATTATTATGGTTCACATTCACTTGAACAGGGATTGGAATTTTATTACAGTTATAGTAATTGGCATATTTTTATGGATTCATTTTTTAATTTGGCACCCACTCAGCCTTCACTGCTCATGCTACAGTAGTAGCATGATGAATTACTGTAAGGTTTTTTTTATTCATTATTATTAAATTTAATTATTTTTGCTCATGTACCCAGATGTGAACAGCGTCAGTTTTCTAATCTAATAATACAGGCTGTTTTGAAAATATGTGCTGTCAATTAGAGGCATTTTATAATAGAAACGATAAAAAGAATCATTAATGAAAAGTAGTTTGCCTCCCTATGTACTGGCTTCAGTTAATCAAAGGTGCTTTGAAATTGAAATCATTAATTAACTTTGCCTGTTTTTGAACTGATCAAGTGCTCTGAGAGCTGCTGAGAATCTGTGAAATGAAGTTCTTCTGAAAAAGAAAACAACATTAATAGACTCTGTTTTTCCAAATGATAAATTTTATTTTCTCCTATCAATAGCATATTCTTTCAAGACTATTGCATTGTTTACCATATTTTAAAGTAAATAGGAAAGAGAGGATCCAATTTCAGGTGAATTCAAGCTGGGTATCTGCATTACAGGAAAGCTGGTATTAGAGCTGGGCACATTTATTTGGATTAATCTTTTTTTGTTACCAAAGAAGGCAGATTTGGATTGACCAAAACATTTAGCAAATTTGGGTTGATTCTGGTGAACGCTTTTGGCCTGAACATTTTGTTTTTCTGCTGGTATCAAAATGAACCATTTTTATATTATCAAAATGAACCATTTTGATTATTTGGGATAGATTTATGAGAAGACTAGGGAAACATTCACAAAACCACTGGTGATGATGCCGGTCTCATACCCAATAGGCAAGTGGTTAGGGTGCTCACCTGAAATGCTTTGAATCCCTGCTCTGGACCTGGGACTTCAACATAGGTCTCCCCACTCCCAGGTGCATGCCTTAGCCACCAGGCAATAGAATTATTCTTGTGCCTATTCAATGATGATTGAAGTACTTTATGTGAAGTGGAACTGCTTTGGCAGGAGAGACTGAGAGCAGCCCACTTCAGAATAGCCAATCTCCTGGTGGTTAAGGCACTCAGATAGCAGGGAGACTTGGGTACAAGTCCCTAACTCCAGACCAGTTTTGTGAATCTAATCCTTCATTTCCTTTGCCTGCAGGAGATCCAGGTTCAAATTCCTGCCCTGGAGCAGGGACTCGTGCCTGGGTGTCTTGCTTCCCAAGTGAGTGTACTAACCATTGGGCTATTTGGTACAAAGGTCGGGGGGAACGAGGGGGCATTACCACCTCCTCTCGTTTTATGAATCTAGCCCTTTATTTCCTTTGCTTTTATTAAAAAACCTGACACAAAATATTTTGTGTGAAACAAAACATTTCATTTGAGCTGAAATGAAACTTTTCTAACATTTTCAATTAACTGAGAATTCCAAAATATTTGGGATTCAGTTTGACCTGACCTGTTGTTGATTTTTCAGAACTGCTGGTAAACCAAAAATAATTTGTTCACACATTTCTAGCTGGGCTAACCTCATGGTACTTCATTTATATGTTAAAAAACATATTGTACATATTAAAAAATAAGCATCAATCCAATATATATACTTTTCTTGTTTCTCTATAAAAGTATAGACTAGCATATTAGATGGCTCTAATAAATCTAAAATAATTTAAAAGAAAGGCCCTTGGAAAAATTAAATGTATTATGGAATAGCCACATGACCAGCCCCTGAGAGGATGTTGTGAACAGATCTTTGCAAAGAGAGATTTCCTATCTACAACCGCCTGCTGCAGGTTTTACCACAGGAGGGGATGACCTAGGTCAATAGCTGGTATTTTGGTAGCTCTCCTTCTCATCCTGTGTTCTCCAACCTTGAATTTCTGTTGGTAAGTAACTGGCAGCTGTATTATTTCCCCTACATGGATTTTACTTCATTTAGATAAAACTCTGTGTCACTTCATCTTTAGAAGTGAGTTCCTTCTGGATGTGTGTTTATTTTCTCTTGGGAAATCTGTGCATACATTTTAAATGTCATGAGTTCTTGTTTTTAACGGCTTTGTATAATCTTGTTTGCTTCTTTACAATATCAGTTTGAGAAGGAAAATGTGGGTATATTCTTCCATTATGTTGTAAAATGTTTAATAAATTAAATTAGTGAAGACTCCTTATTTACTAAAGAAATACACAGCTGGGTTACACTTTCCAGTCTTATTTTTAATTCAAAAGAAAGGGAACTCACAAAGAAAAAGTATCCGTTATAAATGGATGTATGACAAAGTCTAGATATGTGTCAAATTACCTCTGGCAAATCATATGTGATCATATAGAAATAGTCAGAAAAGTTGACCCCAGGGGACCCAATCATCCAGCCCTTACTGAGTAAGGAGTTTCTCCTGGGCATGGCCTACACAACTGTGTCCATGGTTAACAGTTGGAAATTACAGAGATCTTCACTTGGGGCCCAGACCTAAAGTTGCTGAGAGCCCTCAACTCCCATTGAAGGTAATGGGAGTTGACAGTGCTCAGCTGTTGTGACACGGAAAAAAAGCACGTTTTACTTTTCATAGCATTCTAGAATGATAGCATTCTGCAAGATTAGAGCTCTGGAATACAAGATTTTAGATGCTTTTAGTAAAATACTAAAATTTGGACAAAATACTTTTGCATAATTTGTGTTCATTTTAACTGGCATTTAGAGACACAAGGTCGATGAGGTAATATCGTTTATTGGACCAGCTTCTGTTGGTGAGAGAGACAAGCTTATGAGCTATACAGAGATCCTCTTTTTCTTCACATTGTCTCCCTAATATCCTAGCACCAGCATGGCTACAACACTGCATTGCTGCAGTATAATAGTAATAGCCATCACAAAGTAACAGTAACAGATGTTCTCTAAAAATGCCCAAGCATTTACTGTGACTGTATGCATGTTCTCAATGGGGAATAGTACTACAACTCTGCTGTATGTGGGTAAATCTACAGGTAATAAATATAACACTCATTCCTTTGGAGTCTTTCAAACCAAATGACACCAGTCTTATGGAGCTATCCTTTAGAATTTAATTACATGATAATATTTATATATATTTTAAGCATCTGATAGAATTTTCTTTTAAGAAGATTTTAAAAAGTCCCTTAAAAAGAATGTTATTAGCTATTTAATTCTATAGAATGTTAGAGCAATTTCTATATAATGCTATTAAATTTCTATAGACTCCTATTGGTTTCATCCCTATTAAATTCTATAGGGCTTTTCCCTAACAGTATAAAAATGTAAATTATTATAATTCTATATATGGGTATATTACCCATACACACTTACATATATGTACATATATTATAGTTTTCAAATTATTTTAATTAGCAAGAGCATATTTTTCACTGAAATCCATCATCATCTTAGCTATGATATTTTGAGTCATGTCTTTTTTCCCCCATTTTTCTCTCATGGCCTATCATTAGGATGACATGACAGCTCCAATTATGTCAGCATGTCACATTATACAACATAGCTGACTGTGTTATGTCAAACCTGGCAGACTGAATGAGACATGATTTGCTAATACAGTATAAAAGTTTCTAAATGGTTTCAGCAAATATTTCCTACTATATTTAAACCCAACAAAAATGAATAGATGTAATTTTTATTTAACTGCATAACTTATCCCTCTCCAGATCTGCACACTACAAGATCCTCCATGTGTGGGTCTCTCCACTACTGTGCAGAAGTGGGAGAACAGCCACCTCTGAGGCACCAACTCCTCACATCTCTTCCAGACCCTGTGGAGGCCTTTCTACAGGTTCTTGGTGTAGCCTTTATTTTTATTTAAAGTTAGTTTTAATTATGTTATGTTACATCATTGAGGGTTTGTCTCTGGCGGCTACAGTTTCAGGTTGAACAGAGTTACCTCTGCTTATTTTAGATGTAGAGCTCATAGGAACACATGAAACCATAGGCAAGTAACACATACAATCACAAGAACAAGGTCCACTATCTGTTATCAATTTTATTAACGTTACCAACAAAGTTGTGAATGTCACAGCATATACAACTCCTAGATATTTCCATGAACCAGTATTAACTATAGAGATACTCACATCCACCTAGATAGTGTTAGGGTCTGATGGGTCTCTCATTGATTGATCATCAGTAGAGGGATGATTCCTGCTGGAGTTTTCCCATAGGAAGTTCAATTTTCCCACTCTGAGCTCCCCCTTTTTATAATGTGATTCTGCCTATACCTACATTCTGCGCATGTGCATGAAAGTGTCAACCCTCTTTTTCCTTTTTGGTCTTGTGTCTCCTAGAAACCTGAGGGACTCCATTTCCTATAGGTTGTGTATAGTTCCTGTTAGTCTCATTAACATTGATGTATAACCTGTATCCTGAGGTTAAGACACATGTTAGATACAGATGTGACTACTCTATGTTGCATTTTTTGTGATTTAAAAGTAATCTTCCAGGTCATTTTTTGCATCTTATGGCATCAGGTTATTCTTCAGTTACTTATGTCAGCATTTCTTATCTCCAAGGCCTAAAATAGCGAAAGCTAAAATCTTTCAGGCCTCAGCCTACAGGTCTTGCATTTTAGCCTTCCTTATTTAGATATCTAATACATAATTATTCCTTTTAAATACTGATCAATCTTATACTTCTGTAATTCTGCAACTTAATTCTATTCCTGGTTTTGTTACTGTTGAAACAATGTTGCAACAGGCTGATTGTCTAATGCCTGTGTTGTAGTTACACATAGCAAGCAATTGGTCAAATGATTAATTAACATGGCCCACTCTGGAGCGGGAAGAGGAAGAGTGGAAATTATTTGGCCATAGAGAAGTGCATCTTCATTTGCAGAGAATCCCTGGAGAAAATAGTAGAGTTCTCTGTATTATCACCACTGTGGAGCCTACCCCTTACCAGAAGACTTGTGGGCTGCCACATTCAAGGAACCAGGCAAGAGGGGCTGGGGCTACAATTAGTGAAGAGGCACAGGTCCTCCTGCAGATCCGCAAGAATCTTTCATGTTTAAGGACATGCCTTCTGTCAAACCTCACTCCCCCTGATAATATGATGTGAGAAGATCTCTACAATGTAATATCCCCTGGCTAAAGGTTTTATGAGGGGAGGGGACAATCTGGACCATAAGTGTGGGTATATATATATCAGGGGGTGAAGGGTGGGGCTGAAATCAAATCAGTGCATTCTAAAATCGATGCAAACAAGGAAAGCATCATAATCAAGAAGCTGGATATTCACAGTTTACAATGATAATGAAATTCTCCTACAACAATAACTGGGAAGGATGTTAAAGAGTAACTGTTAATGTAAATCATATTTTAAATCTGTAGGACTGGATAACTTGGGGACATTGCAGAGGACTAGAAGAAAGCACACGTTGTACCAATATTTAAAAATAGCAAAGGGGATGACCTGTATAACTGTAGGTCAGTTAGCCTGACATTGATCCCAGGCAAACTCATAGAAATTCTGATATGGGATGCAATCAGTAAAGAATTAATGGATGGTAGAGTAATTAAAGCCAATAAATATGGCTTTGTGGAAAATAGGTCTTGTCAAGCAAACAAATTATTGTTTTTTTGATGAGATTATATGTTTGGCTGACAAAGATAACTATTGACATAATATATCTAGACTCCTATAAGGTATTTAGTACTACACAAAATTCTGATTACAAAAAAATCTATACAAAATCAATGTAGCACATCTTATATGGATTAAAAACTGATAGATATAAAAAAGTAGTTCTAAATGTGGAGGAGTCATCCAATTAAGGCAGTTCTGATAGGGTCCACAGGACTGTGTTCTTGGCCTAATGCTATTCTATATCTTATATCTAGAAGAAAACATAAGAGCATTGTTGGCAAAGTTAGCAGATGACACAAACATTTGCTGGTTTGGTAAATAATAAGGCCAGGTCAGTTCTACAGATGTGGATCACATAGTAAACTGGGCTCACTTGAACAACATGTGTTTTAATGTAGCTAAATGCTGAATCGTAGATCTAGGAACCAAGAATGTAGGTCACACTTATGGAATGGGGAGCTATATTTTGAAAAGCAAGGATTCAAAAAAGGACTTAAAGATCATGGTGGAAAACCAGCTGAGCTTGACCCCCACCATAACGATGTGGTGGCTAAAAAAGCAAATGTGGCCCTTGGAGGTATAAGCAAGAGAATGTCGAGTAGAAGTAGAGAGGTGTGATTACCACCTTATATGGTATTAATGAGACCGTTACTAGGAGACCATGTCCAGTTCTGGTCTCCATACTCATTTAGATTATAAGTTCCTTGGGGAAGGGAATTTTTATTATGTGTTTGTATAATGCTTAGCACAATAGGGCCATGGTCTATAATTGGAGTTTCTAGGTGCTACTGCAATACTAACTAACTAAATAATAATAAAGGATGTTGACAAATTAGCAAGGGTTTAGAGAAGAGATACTGGAATGATTGAGGGCTGGAAAACATGCCTTTCATAATGGAAGACTAAAGAAGCTCAGTCTATTTAGTTTATCCCACATAAGTTAAAGAGGTGACTTGATCATGATCTATAAATACTTAATGGGGAGAAGATAGTAGAGAGTTCCTTAATCTATGAGACAAAGGCATCAAGATCCCATAGCTGGAAGATGAAGCTTGCTAAGACTACATTTAACAGCACTACATTTAGCAGTATGCCTACATATTGTATATGTGACTAGCATATATTAAATACACACACACAGAGACCACATATAACATGTACATAATAATCCTCCCAACATCAGAGTGAAGGTGAGGGTCATTAACCATTAGAACCTAGGGATGTGGTGGATTTTCCATCACTTGTAGTCTTTACATCAAATTGGACGTCTGTTTTAAAGATATGCTGTAGTTCAAGAGGAAGTTATGGGATTGGTGCAGGAATCCCATATGTCCTATATTATACAGGAGATCAGAGTAGACAATGATAATGGTCCTTTTGTCCTTAAAATCTGTGAATCTGTGGATCATTGAAACTGATGGGAAGAAGTCCATGCTGTATTCTCAATCCACACGTACGCAAAACGCTATGCAAACTGTGCATATCTATTTACAAGTAAAGGCAATATTATTCTCTCTATTCCTCAGGAAAGATCTTGATTCCACTATTGTGCTGGCATTTTTAATAGAGCTGGTTGAATCTTCAAAACCATTTTGTGGAGATGTTTCAGTAATGACTAAGCCGTTTTTTTGGTTCCAGGCAGAGAGAAAGAGACACATGCTCCCACTCTTACAGCCTCTTAGTAATGGTACTGGCCTGGAATTTAGGAGACCCTGGTTCAAGTCTTTGTTCTGCCTGAATTCTAGCGAAGCAGAATGATGATTTCTGCTTTGAATTAACCAGAGGCAGGCCTTGAACCTAGATCTCCCACATCCCTAACTAGGCGACACATGCACATTTCAAAAACGTTTTGATACAGTTTTGTTGTTCAGAATGTTCAAAGCCTTTTGGTTTTGTTCCACTGAGGAATGAAAATTTCAAAATCTCAGTGTTTCTGAGAAACAGAATTGTTGTTCTTTAGTCAGCTGTAATTATTAAATATCAGACTCAAAATCTAAATCCAAGAAGAGAATTTTTTCCTTAAAGAGAACTATTTTTATTCAGATTGTCTCATTAAGGCCCAAATCAAAGACCATTTTGGTCAGCAGAAAACTCCAATTGTCTTCAGTGAGTTCTGGATTACACCCATAATGAAGAAAGTGTACATCACAATCCTGTTCAGATTTCTTTCAAATGGAACAATTACTTTTACTAATAATTTATGTACAATAACATCAGCAATGGCAGCAAGAACTCTAGGAATCTATTCCAAAGGTTTGAATGAATAACCTCAATTTAACACTTTAGAAATCTGGGATGCTCTTGTTGAGGAAATTCTGGTAAAGATGGCATGTAATGGCTTTGCAGCAGGCAAAGGAAAACAACATTTTGTCTAACGACAAAAGACATATCATACTTCAGGCACATCATAAAGGGTCCTGGCATAAAAAAACAGGAGATAAGGAATAAAGTTATCTTTGGATCAAAAATAAAATCCTTTTTTTTTATCTGTAGTGAAGAAGAAAGGCTACTAATGCCTGTTGTCAGCCTGCCTATTTTTAATACAGTAGCCCTTTTCACACTCATCTAATTTCACCTGTCAAATTTCCTGGGATTTTTAAAAGATACAGTACAAATGGCTTCTACAGCAGGTTAGCAATTGTTAACAGTTGCAAAGATTTTTAATTTTTAAAATTGAAGGAATTTTATATTCTTATGAAAAAAATCATAAATAATCACTAACATAGGTGCTTGTAAGAGTCTTGCATTAATATAATTTCACTCTGATGTTGGGAGGATTATTCTGTGAATGTTATATGTGGTCTCTCTGTGTGTGTATTTAATATATGCTAGTTACATATACAATATGTAGGTGTGTTGCTAAATGTAGTATTGAACTGAACCAGATATAACAGGTAATTTTTTTTCAGAAGGGAGTTAGGCACCTACCTGCTACTTTAGGCACTGAAATAAAGAAGTCAGATCCTCAAAACTCCTGCTTAGCTCCTGCCTCACCCTGTAGGCATCTAAAGTCCTGAGGTGCTTATATTTCTGCTGGTAAAGTCCCCAAGGTGCCTAAAAATCTGCCAGCAAACATACCCACAGCAACTTTTCAGAAGCTGCCTACCAGATCAGGTCCTGCATAAAACAATACTGGTAGGGGTTCCATTGCTCCCACTCTGATGTTTAGTCCAGTGGTAAAAGCACTCATCCAGG